GGTTCAAAGCAGGCATGCAGGGAAGACAGACAGACAGACAGACAGACAGACACTCACCTCTCCGCCTTGGGTGTTGCCTCAGTGCTGCTGGCCCTGGCTCTGCTCCGTGCTGCCCTGTGCCCAGACTGAGCTGGCCAAGCCCTCCTTGCTGGCCATTAAATACCCATGGTGCTAATTGCCGTGTGACCCCTCGAGTGGGTGGCTGGAGAGAGGATCCTGGTGGAGAGGTGGCTGGAGAGGGGGACGGGGGCTGGCCGAGCTGCCACAATGGGAGCGCCATCGCTGATTAACGCTCCTCCTTCGTTTGCTATCTCATTTGGAGGAGAGGCTGGGTCTGCGCCGGGCTGGAGCTGGCCTTGAGTTGCTGGCGGCTGGTGGTGATGCTGGGAGGGTCTCATCACTGGTGGAGACCCCTGCACACCCAAACCTGCTTGGGGACTGGCCCTGAGTGCTTCCCCTGTCCTTGTCCAAAGCTAAACTGGTGCTAAAGTGTGGTCCCCAGCACCTGGCGCTCAGCTGTCCCCTCCCGGGTCCATCCTGGCCTGGGGCAGAGCAGGACACGGGGTGGGCAGCAGGAAGGGGCTGGGGGCACCACATCGGCGCAGGGAGCAAGGAGCCGGTCCCCTCGGCACAGGCAGCTAACGATGAGTTCCTTTATTAAGGAGGTCAGAGTCCACATGTACAGCATTGGACACCACGCACACACGACCTAGACTTCACGGCACTGCGACACACCACGGCCCGGCCCCGGGCCTCGCCGGGAAGGTACGTGGCCATGTCCCAGCCCTCCCCGACCCCCTGCCCACCCCTCTCTGGGGAGGTGTCACCACGGACGGGTTTAGCCTAATCCGGGGCTGCGGAGCAATGCGTGCGCCCCCGGGAATAATCCTGGGAAATCCTGCGTCTCGGCGTGGATTAAATACCTCTCGTGCAAGTCAAAACAGAGTCGCTGGGGAGTCCTGGGTGACACGGGCAGTTACACAGGGGTGTGCTACCGACAAACTGCACGTACAACGTCCCCTCCCCGGCACCGAAAAACACCGGCAGAGGGGTCCCGGGACGGGAGGAGCCTTCCCATGTGGCTCTGTCTGCTGCCTTGTCCCGAAGGCAAGTGCTAGAAAACCTGGCTACAGCTAATCCACTGAAATAAATGAACAAAAAGTAAAGATGGGCACCGTGCTCCCCATCTGCGTGGGACCCGTTCCTGAAGGGTCCAGCAGGGCACAGAAAGCCCCTTGGGAGATGCCGGGGGCTCCTTCTCTTGTGCTGGTTGGAAAATGCCACCACCGAGGTCCCCAAATCCCATTGCTTGAGGAAGGATGGAGGGGGCAGAGCTGGGGCTTGGAGCTCGTCCTCACCCGAGGGCTCCGAGGAACAGAGGGGAAAGCTGTGGTGACCCCAGTGCATCGTTTGTCTGTGTTTCCCCAGCAGGACGGACAGACAGGGACCCCGGCAGGCAAGAGAGCCCATCCAGCACAGGATCCGGGGTGGCAAAGACTTAAAAAGAAAAAGGAGAAGCACACAGGGAAGTACAAATCTGCCGCAGCCGGGAAGATGAGCCTTTGATCTTCCCGTGCCTTAAGCCCCCTGGAAATGGGGCTGAGGGGAGCTTTCCTCCCCTCCCCGGGTAGTCTGTCCATCCAATAGGGTTTCATGGGATGAGAGCCCAGTGCAGGGGGCTCTGTTCCCCATTGCTGCTGTAGTGTGGGCCGAAAATCACATAAAGGGTGGCTGGGTCCTGGCTGTCCCCCTCCCCTCCCTGTTCCCACTCGCGCTTGCTTTTACTAAATTTTTTTGATGAAGAAATAAACCCTTTTTGAGTCTTTGCAGGGAGCCAGAGGGAGAAGACACCCCCACACCCCATGGCAGCTCCTCCTGGGGTTGGCCCGCA